TTTTTTTTACTTTTGTCTTGAATCGTAGCTATAAAGCCTCAGAAAACAACAACAACAAAGTAAACCAATTAGTCTAGTTGAAAATGATGTGGATAAAACCACGTGAAAAAACAAGGGTACTTCAACTCCTGTGTAACGTAAGAAGACAACTTACCTGTAAGGAATTGAATATGGCAAAAAGATACTCAAATACCACAGAGTTGTTGTTAACAGCAAGAAGTCCAAATACCCACGTCAGACCCAGAATTGGAAGAAGAGTGACAAAAGCTTTTGCCAAAGACCTTTAAATTACAGAGCAACAACAATAACTCAAATGTGTGTAGAGCGGTTCGCATTTGCTCTAGTTTTCCATTACTAATGTGACACTATTGGCTCTCGCCACATTGTCATCGTATCAGAACACGTTTCCCGAGCTTCGCGTCTGCTACATGTATTCAGTTCGAGTTGTGTTTGGTTAATTAGATCATCTGCGTCCTATGTAACTGGCTCGAGCAATTGGTTTTATGTTATTGCATCCAATATTGCAAACTGCTCTATGTTCACATGTAGATCACCGTAAACATGGTAACTGGTTAACTTACGGCGCACGATTCGCAAACATAAACGTCAAATTTTACACAAGCAACTGAATAAAATGATTGCTACATAAACTGCAACAGAAGGAAAATAGAAAAAAAAAAGGACAAAACAACGATAATAACAACACCAAAAATTCAGACTAAAGAAGACAAGCAATAGACAAAAGACCACTCATTTAAATGGCATTGTTAATAGCAGAGCTCCAGCGCGCTGAAGGCGCATGAGCGGAGCCCCATTGCTTTGGTAACCCATCGAGCTAAAATATTTTGGTTTTCATGTGATTGTTCGTCCGTACTTACGTCCGTACGTGCGTCCGTTTGTCCCTAAGTACGCCCCTTCATGTAAATCAATGTGAAATGTCACTCTAAAACAACCTTGTTCCTAGGGATTTTCCCCAAGAGATAGGCAGGTTTACAGCGTACGTCTTTACTTTAAAATTTGGGCATCCACGTTATGTTTAATTGATACTGAATAGTAATACGTGACCCTATCGCGGGCTCATGTTTAGAGCTCATAGATGTTACTTGCTTTTTTTTTGGAGTTGATCGCTGCCCAGGTACAGGTTTTGGGTGGATCGCAGGTTCAAGCCAAATCAGGTGCTCTGCTTTTAGGCTTGGTTAGGTCTATATACCAACCATGGTCACATAGGGCCAAAATAAATCTATTTAAATCTAAGTCTATATATTACTATGTTAAGGAAACAATGGAAATAGTACTGAGTTTTATTTATTTAGTTTTATTATATAGTTTATTAAATATTTACCTAGCATTAGATGGCGATTCTTCATTTAACATTTTTGAGGTTACTCTCATTACCATTGTGAGTATGCCCAAATTAATCTAAAGAATATAATGGAGAAGGTATGCATGAGAATGAAATTGACACATACAGTGGAACAACCTTGGATTGTTTGAACTGTGTAATTATATTAACAAAATTGATTAGGATGTGCAATACCGTCATGACAAAGATGGCTGGACCAACAAAGCTCCAAATAGCTCCTGTCTCCACTGACAACCAGCAACTGAGAAAGAATTTACAGTAGGTTAACAGAAGGTAACGCTTTCACCATGGAGTGCAGTGGAGTGGACCTCCGACGGTTTTCTTACGTAACTGTTGAAAAATAATTTCAGTTTGAACTTACATTTCCTTTGAAAGAAGCCTCTTTTGAAAAATGGCAACGACGATTACAGTTACGGTGAATGGGAAACCTTGGCAAAAATGAAACTATGTTAATCACCAGAATGAGTTGTAAATGGGCAAAAATCTGCAGAATGTCCAACCTTTGAACAGCACTAACCTCAACAATAGCACACACTGATTAGAGCGGTTTTTAATTGAGTGTCGTAAAACCAAAACCAAACCAGTTACTGAATTAGACTGTTCAGCATATCTCAAACCGTATTCTTAGTAAAACAAAAACCAAAGTGATCGTCTGATTATTTTTGACACTTGATTGAAAACTGCTCTAAAACTGTACTAAGCTACTACAGGGACCGCAAAATAGTATCTTTACATTAGCTAAGCATAATTGACCACAAATCGGCAAAAATCTAAAACATAGTCAAGAAAATAAAGTTTAAGAAAACGATGCCACCTTACCCCATCCTATACACGTGTAATATAGATTCCTTCCTCTTCCTGACTCAAAGACTCTGACCACCATGAAGTAAATATGGATTCCTTCAGCGAGCATCCACGAAAAAACACATAGGAAAAAGAAAAAGAGCCCAACTGCGACTGCGTAACAAGCAACCTACAAGAGAATAATCCATTGAATGAGTTATCCAATCGCGTACAAAAGAAACGAATGAAACCTGACAATAGTAATATTGAGAAAATACAATTTTGTTCCACTTGATAAAGATTACTACCCTTCCCCCGTTTTAGTGGCTTCTGATCAGAGAAGAAATGTATAGAGTGTTCCACGACTAATGTTGCCAATCATTTACGTTAACAATTTATCATCAGCTTATTTTGAGTTAAAGACTTCAAGCCAAATAACGTACATTATGTTCGTTTGTTATCGACCTGTGGACATTATTTGACTGTGTATGTATGTCGTTTAATTAAATCACATTTAAACTTGATCAAAATCACTCAGTTATTTACCTGTGATGTCTGTGGTTTCACTCCAAAAGCTGCCACAAGGAATAAGACTTGAGCAAGCAAAACAGCAGTCACCAAATTTATATGAATAATAATTCTCTGCGACCGAAGGCTTCTGTAAAGGAAATAAATACGGAAAACATGAGCTTCATTTTCTAATTTAACAAAGGTATCTTTGAACATCCGAACAGAGTATAAATAGATGTTTCAAAGGACCACACTGGGTGTATAACTATTCGAACAAGTTACCTAGCTATATTGGCTTCAAATTCTCTTTATATGCAATTATTTAATTAATCACAATCTCCCTAGCTGATTACAGACCCATTTCTAGTACTGACTAGGGAAAAGAAAGCGAGAGAGGCCAAAACAAAACAACTGGACGAGGTCAGCCGAACAAATACTTCAGCAGATATTGCTAGGATTGAACGTTAAAAGAACTCAAAGTCCAGGATCGAGGCAGGGGAAGGAGAACTTTACTGCGCTGCATAGTGGAACTATGGCAAAGGGGTAAAGGGTGGGTTATAGTAGCTACGCTGCCTTTCTTGGCCTTCTCATATACATACTTGGATCAATTGTATACTGCATAACTTACGTTAAGAATGCGTATGTAATGATTGTCAGAATGCATCCCAAGATGGACAAACCACAGCCTACGTAGGTGATAATTGTTAGAGGTAGTTCGTGTTGTTTGCCGGACTGAAAAGATAAACAAAAGTATCATGACAGGCAATCAGTCGGTCACTTTGTCAACCAATCGATCGATCAATCGACCAATCAATTATCGCTTCTTAGATCCAAAGCTACTTTGACAATGGTGTAACGAAATTCATGATCAATAACGGGACAGGCGTATGGAAAACTGATGTCGTCTTGTTAAAATTATAATGAAAAGTTGGACAATATTTCACCTGATTTGGAGTGACCCTCGTCAGAACAGCAAAACTGGTCAGATGATCGCAGTGACACATGACTGTTGAATAGTTTCTTTGCACAACTGTACAGCCTTCTGTAGACCAAACACCGTGTTCCTTCCTGTAGTTTAAATAAATTACTTTTTTGTCAGAAAAGAAATCACTCGACTGGTGATAGAGCAAAAAGTGGTGAGTTTTTTGTGGATTCTGTGCAACTTTCTGTCGGTGTTTCAAAAGGTACAAAATTTGCCTGACTCCGAAAGGTGTACAGGTATTTTATACCTTGATTTTTTTTTAAAGAGATAGGAACATATAATGGAACGAAGCTAGATATATTCTATTTAAAGGAATAAGGAGTCAAGTTGAGTTTTGAAATAATTAAAGATGATGTTGTGCCTTTGGAGTTAACAGGAATTCATCACTCCACAAGATTTAAATTGATTTAAACAAATTAATATCATAAAGATGTAACTTACATACTACTTTGATTCCAAAATACGCAGTTCGTGTTGCTGAGAGTTGGCTATGAAAAAACAGCGAAGAAGGATCATTGGGAAAAAAAAGCATTTTAAAGGAAATTTAGCCTNAAAAAAGCAATTAACAAAAACATTACGTCGAAAATCAAAGATACTTAATTAGATCTCAGTTTGATCCAGGCAACGTGCTCTGAATGTCCGTTAGACACACGTACGCATGCTCAAAATGACTTTCTGATTATAAGTTTGTATTAGTTATCCCACAAGCAGAAAGTTTTACCTTAGAAAGCCAGAATTTCATCCTGACTGGTTTTTCAAACTCTCCTTTGCGTTGCGGTCTGGTGATGATATTCATAATGCGAGTTCCTACCTCTTGATTGCTACTGTGGAATTGATCACAATGAACATGTTGGTGTCATTCAAAGGTTCTGTACAGTTATAGGACTTCACAATGTTTTTTCCCAAGGTATAGTCGAACTGTGTCGTGATTTAACTAATTATTAAGATCAACACTCACGTTGCATCTTTCATAGCTGTTAATGAGTCAAACATCATCCACACCACCTTACCAAGTTCTGATGAGAGAAAAGAAGGAAAGAAAAGTAATTGGCGTGTAACAACAAAGAACATTAAAAATTGATAAATACTGTGTAATATTTGCACAAGTAGTAATAACGCGTTTATGATAATCAAAATTGCAGGTAGTATTTCAATATCTCTTAAGTCAATTTCGGATGCTACAAATAAAAATTGATAAAGATCCAACAACTCACTATCCTCGAATCCTTTTTTTCAACTGAGAAAAGACATTCCTACGACTTCCCCACTTTTTATTTTATTAGTATAAATTTACCTGATGCATTTGAAGGGAAGGCTTCTCGAGGAAGCATAACGCTACTCAAGTCGTGGCGTGAATAGTTCTCGAAATCACCGTCAAGAATGTCTGGAAATCGTAGCTCTTTCTTTCGCGTTAGATTCACAGACGCCACCGCCATATCTGTAGATAAAAAATAGACGCATAGATATCATAAGAATATTTCGTTCGACTTAACCGAACTTCATTAGCCACAATTTAAATGCGAATGTTGATTAAGAAGGGTAAAATCGTGTTCATTAGGATCCCAAGGGAACTAAAATGGTGTCATAGAGCTTACCTGAGATATGGTGAATGTGATCTGAGAGAATTGAAAAGTTTGTGAACGAGTATGAGTTTTAAACCTTTATTTTGCTCTGAGAACAGGAAATTTTTTGGTGTTTGTTGGACAACTGTAACTCTACAAGACCATTGGATTCCGGATTTAGCAGTCTAAATCGAAATAACAAATGATTTCCCGGGAGGCACGAGGTGCTGTGACGTTATGGATACGGAGCTCCTTTCGTGATCGAGAGGTTCCCATATCGAGGGCGAAACAAACCTAGGGAAACTTAGTTAAGCACCAGTCTGATTTTGACCTCAAACTAACATATCAAGAGATCATGTGAATCTCAAGACTAATTGGTATGAAAATTAGAACCCATGCGTTTTTTTCTTTCTTT